AATTTCTAAATTAATTTAAATTTTAAATTTTAAATTAAAATTTTTATTTTTAAATATAAATATAAATTTAAAATTGATGCATGCTAATCTTTTATAATATAATTATTAAGTGGTTATTTCAGCCCCTAGCTTTTTTCAAATCCGCGTCGCTATTATATATGGTTTGCGTTCCGGAATTTGCCCTCGGATTTCGTTTTATTACGGGTTTTGCCGTTCCTCTTCTGCTTTTGTGGAGCACCTTGCACTGGTTAGCTTTATGGTTTTAGGGGTTTCAGTATTTGGTTATGGTATGTTACTCAGTCTCCGTGTTCGGTTGTTGTGCTCTTGATGACTGCCACGTAATCTGCTTTCTGATGGCTGGTCGGGAATTCACTTCCTTTCTCAGCCGTCGGATTTGGATTCCGGGACCCCACCTAACTTTGTTTATTTGCCTAACTGACCCGTTTTGAGGGGGAAATAGTAAATATACCACATTTCCTAAGGAGTTCAGTTAGGATACTCAGGAAAATATAGCTGTATGTAATAAATTATTTATTGGTTTGAATGGAAATAACTCGATTTTAAATAAAATGTTGAGTTCGAGTCTTATAAATGAAGAAATAAGCGTTAGAAGAGCTTTCCCCTAATGAGATCCGACAGGGTTCAATTCCGGATTAGTCGGACTCAATGTGGTTATCAGATATAAAGAGGTTAATACAAAAAGTATATATATAGGTGTATGTAATCTAATAGTAAATTATTTGTATTATTAATTATAGATTTATAATTTAATTTATAATTTATATATATATGTTTGGAAGTATCAAAAATCAGCTGAGCAAATTTAATTAAGTCAAAGAGATTGTATCCTAAAAATCATTTTAGTAATTGAGAATTGAATAAGAAATACATAAATATTGGACAAATTTTTTGTTTTCCAATTTTCAAATGAAAAGTAAGGCCAAAAGAAAAATTCATTCATAGAATATTTAAATACATTAAAGTTATCATTAGTGGAGGAAGAGAAAATTACACAATTTTGAAACTAAAAGTTGATGTACAACTCAATTCATTCACAAAATATGTCACGTGCTTTTGAAGAAGTTTGGGTTAGTCTGTCCCCTGATTTGGTGCACCTCCGAATGAATTAGTAAGTTGTCGGCAAGAATAAAAACCAATAAAGAAAGCACTAGTGCCTCCAAGAGGTTTGTAAGTGGTTAACAATTTGAGATTTTATATTAGAATTTTTGAGTTTATACCTTAAAAATGGATTAAGAAAAAAAGAGGTTTTTTAGTGCTTAACAATTTGAGATTTTATATTAAAATTTTTGAGTTTAAATCTTCAGATGAGTAGGGAAAAATTAAGGAAAAAAGAGGATTGTTTTCTGTTGTATGGTGCAACATTTGATGTATAAAAATACAAAGCAATAATTGTATTTTGGTGGCACTTAAATAAATAACAGTTTAATTGACAAACAAAAATGAAATAAAAATAAGAAAAATATCAAAATGAAATGATGTTTATCTATTGTCTTATATTATTATATGAGTATAAACTTATTTATACATAAATTTTACACATTATTTATATAAAATTTTGACAATTTATTTCTTTACTTTAAAAGTTAAGATTTATCATATTTTTATAATAAAATAATTATTTTTAATAAATATAATACAAAATAAATAAATATCAATCATTAAAAATAAAAAAATAAAAAATTAAAATTTT